TTTTGACATAGAAAATTTCCCATTTCTTGTGCAAGATAACTTTCTGGGTCGAAGAACACTGGAAAACACAGGTTTCAAGGTCACGAAAGCTCTGAAGTTTTTTTCAAGCGGCTGAGGCGTCGATTTCACCGTGTTTTACCCGGATTTCTCTTCGGGAACATGATGTTTATCTAGCTCATGCAATCAAGCTAGGCCATTCACCTTAGGTTCAGTTAGACATTGAACTCAATATGGGCGCACAGCAATTTTATTTCTGCTACTTAATGACATAAAGTTTATACACTCCCTCAATTGCTATCTAGTACTATGAAGTTATTGTTCAACTTATCCAAGCTTTCATATCACTTTTCTATATAATGCGCGTGTTAAAATAATTATACGACTTTTTAATATCAAGGTTCATTTTTATAACACACGTTGGCTCTTGATTATTATGGCGTCGTTTTTTGTACTGAATAACTCAGTAACTACTCAAAACATGTTACAAATAACCAAGTGTTTTGTTGTACAGCCTAAATAGAGTTTTTAGGTCACATAGACTGAGGTCGTACAGGTCTATATGACCTGTATATACAAACGGCATGTGATATGAAAAGAGAAAAATGCTTATTGCACTCTTCGCCTGCTGAAAACTTTTGCAAAAATCATGATACGTTTTAGAGGATGATGATGGAGATGATGATAACAATTGTTGAGTTTGATAACAAATTCAAACCTCAAATACGATCATTTGTGATCTATTCATATCATTGACATGAATATAATGTTCAGTAGAATAAAGAATAGATAAATATAAGCATAGTTAAGATACAGTTGTTAAAAGTATCATATGGTAGTCTCAACTTCTCTTTGTTTTGAAAGAAAAAAAAGGATAAAAACAAATTGCACTGAATACATAAGTCAATTTACACCACACACATTTCGAGAAAGGTTCAACATTTTACGATAATTTTATGTTAATCTATCCTACAAAATTTCTAATCAATTAAAAACTGGATCGTTGTTCGTTGTGCACTACCACCAATGGACCATTCGTAAATTTTCTGTGCGAGGAATGTAATGCTCTAGATCGCTTCGACTTTTTTCAAGAAGCTTTAGTACTATTTCAATTAGATAACACAAATGATTTCGATCTTCTTCGGGATAAATGCCGAACCATATACCCAGCATTATTTAAATTTTCATTACACTTCACTCCGCTACAATATATCGATTCTCGAATACATCATCTCCATATGATTTCACAACAATATGTTGCACTTTGTGAAGATAATGATAACGGAATAAAGTATTTCTCAAACGATGAACCCCAACTACTAGCCTTCCATACAGAAGGGGATGGAAATTGCCTCTACAATTGCATTACATTACTTGGTGGAATGCCAAAATATTTTACGTTCGAACTTCGAGTACGTAACATCATTGAATTAGTAATCAATGTTGATCATTATCTCAAGTTTTATGAAATATTTGATACAAATTTAAAAACATATGTTACACAAACAATGGTGTTTGATAGAAAATGGGCTGAAGGGTGGGATTTGTTTGGATTATGTTCTATTCTTAATTGTAACATTCGTTCAGTTTATCCAAATGTCGATGGTGTAAGTAAAGATGACAATCCATCAAAAAGATTATTAAATGTAACATTTCAACCTCGTGAAACCATCGCAACAAATACAATATTAATTATGTGGTCAAAAGGAGTATCGCCAGAAGACTGGTTGTTATACAGTGATCAAGAATATTGGTCTCCAAACCATTATGTTCCACTACTAAAACCTCGTGTATGTAGCATGTTATACAATTAAGTTACACGGTTTATAACAAAATTCTATCGAATTTAGCCTGTAAATACATCATCGATGATCTCTTACACAAAAGAGGTACGTCTTTCATCGTCTCATCTAAACATTATCATAAAATATCATTTGCTTCATAACGTTATAACTGTGTAATTCACATTCTTATTAGCACATGAAACTTGATGATAATAAAAAGACGAAACAACAAGTAGATGTTGAACATCACACACAAGACGATATATCGTTACCGCAAAGTTTTGTATGCTTTTTGTCCTCTAATACTCGTTCAACTAACAGACTTAGTAATTACCACAGATATACATTTGACATTCTAGGAAACGGAGGGAGATTAGCTTCAAGCAACTTATGCTGTAGCTAAAGCTGTTGTTGAAATAAAGCAGAAAAAGGAACCAAATGTACGTATCATAAAAAGATATTGTTGCACTTTAACATCATCTGCATTCTGAAAATCTTAGACTGATACTAAAACAACATTCGGTACTATGGTTTTACAAGGTATACGAAATGTAGTACCAGTTGGAAAAGTATGTCATGTCACTTTATCCTCCTTGTGCAAAATTTTCGGGGAATTGTCTCTTTTTAGAAAAAGAATAGTCGTATTAAAAAGTGTAATGCTACCAATAAACGTGGCATTACATTTAATGTTCGAAATTTGATAAAAGTTGATCCAGATTTTAATAGAAAAGAATTATTAAATAAATTCGTTCAAGATGTGGAATATATATTACTTTAATTAGGTGATCAATATCAATTATTTGAATGAAGAAAGCTTGAAAGATGATGTCGGTCAAGCGGTATTAGAACGCTCTTTGAAATGGGCTCTTCGTACAGCGTATGCAACACAAATTAAAGCTCTTTTTGCGCGACAAGAAAATATGTTGAATAAAATTAATTTTACAATTCCACGTAAATCAGCAGCAAATATTCCACAAATAGTATCAGCAAGAAAATCTCAAATACTACAAAGATCAGTTCATTCAGCAACGGTAATAACCTTTTTGCCTCATCTCATACCACTGTGATCATTACAAGCGGAATAGCTATTTATTGCTCAAGAAGTTTCTATCACTGATGGTTTAAGTAATGGTCTTAATAGCTTATTTGATGAACTCCAGAATCGAGCTTAGAATGCATATTTGTTATTATCATGCGCCATGTTGTTGCACAATATACTTATAGAATAGAAGAGACTTAGCTGTCTGTCTTAAAGAAAAGAAAGAAAGTTGAAGTAAATATACCGAAAATGCTTACAGTAATCGTATATGAACAATCTAAACGTAATTTTTCATTTTCTTGTTATTATGTAGGATTTATAAGTGAATAACAACAATGCTGAACTAATCTTTCCACTTTCCATACACAGTGAAAGAGAACAGAATGAAAAGAGGAATTTTCAGTTTATTACTCAAAACAGAGAAGAACTTGCCCATATAATATATCCTACTTCACTTCTATACTTACTTATAATACGAACGGCGAAAGAAAGTTTGTTGTTGCCTGATCTACGTAATTTCGGGATACTTTCTGAGACAGAACGTGTTCAGATTTAAATCATGTGCCTTTTGAGAAAATGCTTGTGGCGTTCAATAGTTTAGTGAGCTGAAAAGATCGTCTATTACTTACTGGTTCCGTTAAAAAGTATTTGTATTAAGTACACAGAACAAGCCGAATGTTCGTAATAGGTTTATTTTCTATGTACCTATTGTTGTAGGACGAGCAATTACTCGATTTGATATTACATGGAAAGACAGAAAAAAGCCTTGTTTGTTCTTTTCTGTTCTCATCAGTGGAACACAAACGTTGTATTGAAAACGGGAAAAAAAATGAAAAAGTTGATTTTCAAATGTTGAAAGCATTTTTATTAAAAAATCTATGTGATTCTAATTCCTAATTGCTACAAGATTTAGATAGATAAGAAGAAGTTTTCGACAAATCTTCATACTGCTTTATCATTTTTCTCAAAGGATGATATATTCTCTCTTCCCGTTGTTTTCTTCTACATGAATATAGAAGAGAGGAAACAATAAGAAAAAGAACGCAAACAATTAGAGACGTACCTGGACCGAAACGGTTTATAATACTACGCCAGAAAAACTTTCGAAACTCGTATTCTTCTAACGATTTTACTAAATTCGGAATGAAAGTATTCTTATGCTTATGGAAAACATCAACAATACGTTTCACACAGTTCTCTTCGCTAATATCTAGTGTTGAACCATTAGCTAATGGATATCGAAAACAATTTCGAAAAATGTTATCATCGAAATTATTTAACGATGGTCTAACATAACTTGAAATAACAATATTCCCGATAACGACATTTTTCGAAAGCATAATTGTAATTCTTTTAACAAAATTGTTCATCTCATTGGGTGTTCGTTTTAATAACATATTCGGATTCATGACGAAATGTACCGATTGTGCTAGTAGTGTTCTGTGTTCGAGTTTAACTTTTTCTTGCTTTAGAAGATATTGAGTGTTCATTTTACCTTCTATCAGATCACGAATAGAAGAGATAAGATTATCAAGTACAACATGTGTTTCGTAAAAGTTTAGTCGTTCAGTTAATTTTTTCAACTGTGACCCGCTCTCTAATTCCAGCTTGTCAGTTATTTCAATATTATTCCACATTTCATTAAAACGTTCTTGACTTTCAGAGAAGATTTCTTTCGACGATACACGACTACCGTTGAATGTTAATAGCACCGATACGTTATCTTTAAAATGATGATCCGAATGTTTCAATTCTTCAAATAAACGAGTAATTTCTGACGACGTATTTGAACCTAATGGCATGAATAATAATAGTTTATCAGTAATAAATTTCTTCGTTTGTCTGTCATCTTGTCCATAACATCCTGGTATTAAATTCGATAATTCCTTCAACATTAAATCACAACAATATTTGGTGAATGGAAACGATGCGGCAATAACTTCGATCTGTTTTAGAGCGTTTACCAATGGATATAGGGCTGCATTGCTAGGGAATAGTATAAGAATAGAAAAGAATACTGCGAAAGGCATAACCTGTTTCACAAAATAGTCAAATTAAGAAATACTAACTGCACTACCACCACATGCTTTTATACAGTGCTTACAGATCGAATCAACTTTTTCTTTAATGTGTAATATACATATCATCATCGAATACTGAACTGTCTATTGTTCACTAAAACACATGAAGATGTCAATTTTGTTTTAAAGATGATCAAAAAGGATAAAAACATATATTTATCAACTTTTGAGTGAGATAGACAATATCGGAGACAAACAGATGTTGAAAACAAAGTATAGCCTGTAATTCATCTTCCAGTAAGGATAGTCGAACAATAACGGAAACACTTATGAAGGATAGTAGTTAAGATTACTCAACCATGTCGTGTTCTCTACTCCGTTTAAGGCACTCTCTCGCCGTGTACGCGTTCAGTCAGAGTTTGTTGCAGACGAAAACTGTTTCCTTGATTATAGATCAAGAATAGTTTCTCTCGTCCTTTATAACTGACCCCCACTTTGTACAGAAGGGAAAAAGGCGGATTAAAAAACATAAACGTATAGCTCTCTTAATTACAAGGTCATATTAAGATCATTGAATGTAATTGATTTCAAGTACTGAATACAGTATAGCTCATTAAAATGAGTGTTCATGAACTTGTGGACTATCAGTAAACAGAAACAAATAAGAGAGAGAATAATTATTACATACATGGCAAAACAGTATTATTGAATTTTAAAACCAGTCGCTGAGTTCTTGAAACACCAACGCAAGCTGTCGGGGTTATTCGTCTATACCTAACACATTTTTCATCTTTTCAAAATTGTCAAGATTTCACATTTATTATCAAGATCCATATAACCTAGAGGTGGCACTTTCTCTTTCTTTCCCAAAAGAAAGGAAGGTAAAAATTAACTTTTCTTTCTTTTAGGAAAGGAAAGTTTTCTACTTTCTCGCTTTCCTTTCCCAAAAAAAAGAAAGAAAAGTTTGATATAACTTTCTTTTGTATCTTTCTCGATGAAGAAAAGACTTTATTGCAAAAACAAGTCAATATTCGTGATCAGCGTCGAAAACCGAATCAAGTGATGCGTTTTGCAAATTGTTGCCGAAAAACTCTTTTTCCCGCAAAATACATCACTTGATTCAGTTTTCGACTCTGATCACGAATATGAGCTTGCTTTTGCAATAAGGTGTTTTCTTCATCAAAAGAAAGTTATATCATACTTTTCTTTCTTTCTTTTTGGGAAAGGAAAGCGGGAAAGTAAAAAGCTTTCCTTCCCCAAAAGAAAAGAAAGTCAGTTTTTACTTTCCTTTTTTTGGGAAAGCAATAAAAAGTGCTACCCCTAGTTATTAATACATTTATTCCGAAGTTATTACCCCGTAACAAGTTTAATAACTAACATACCATATTAAAAAATTTCAATGGAATCGAACTGAATTATGATTCTCTAGAAAGAAGGGTACTTTGATGATGAGAAATCAATCGGGCATGAGAAAAAAATCACTGTATAATATTTTCTATCAAGCATTTAAATTATTATTCCACTTTATTGATGAAAGAGTATCCTGTTCTAACAGGTCTGATCTGTATGCGGCTCTTGGTTGAATCAACATATATTTCAAGGATAGTAAATAGTCTCAGATGTTTTCAATAAATACACCACCTTGTCTTATTAAAATGAATGTTCTAACGACGATATGTTCGATCTTATGAAAGACAGATTTAGTCAAATAAAGTTTTGACTAAACAATAAAAAAGAACATGATTATGGACAAAATGAGAAATGATCACGGAAATAACATGCTTTTGATTCTGGTTGACAAAATTTCGATAAAAAACATGCAAAAGATCTTGGTTACGAAAACTAAATCTATTTATGCGAAAACCATGAAAAAGATCATGGGAAAAAGCATTTAATATATCTTGGTTCATCTCTATAACCAGAAAACATGGTTTAGATCTCGGAAATTGTACATATCGTGCAATGATGTAGCGATCTAGCTCGTCCAAGTGTAGTCAGAGTTTGAAAAGAATATCAATATATTTACTAACTAAAAATGTAAATGCTATACAATTAACAACAAACCAACTCATAGCTCAAAAACTTCAAGTACGAACACTTTCATTTCTCTTCACGAATAGATAACCCAATGTCTCATCTCTAAAGTGGGTGTCAAGCGAGACATTAATTTCCAGTAGTTTGGGCGTTTTCCGAATAGGTTTTCTGGAAAAGCTATTAACAAAAATATGCTTTTTCAATCTTATAA